AAAAAAAAAAACTTCTACTGATAAAAACTGCCAACAATATTGCTTCTGCTAATGATTCTTACTCATTTTAAGAAGCCCAACTGTGATTTTGGACAAGTTAACTATGTGCTATGGTTTGAATGTTGGTGCCCCCCTAAAATCTGAATGTTGAAACCTAACAGTGTGATGGTATTAAGGGCTGGGGGTTCCCAGGAAGTGACTAGGTCATGAAGGCTGAGTCCTCCTGAGATCATCACCTTCACCTTGATAAAAGAGGCCCCAGGGAGATGACCCATTGGATGCTGTGAGGACCCAGTGACAAGGTGCCCTCACCTGACAATCTGCTAGCATCTTCATCTTGGCCTTGCCAGCCTCTGGAACCATAAGAAGTAAGTCTTTGTTATTTTCAAGCCACCCAGTTTATGGAATTTTGTTATAGCCACCCAAACGGACAAGGTACTATGCGTCCATTCTGTAAAATGACATAGTAAGTCTCTACCTGCTAAAATTGTTACAAAGAGTAGATTCTGTACATGGTGCTCTTAGAAACTCTCAATAAAGGTATCTGTTATTTGGCCTATGTAATACAATTTGTATAGGCATCACCAACACAGATTGCATCTGGTTCACAACTTCACACAAGTTCACACAACTACCACACAAGCCATAAGATAGTAAAAAAAAATCATCAAATCTTGGTGGGAATCACTTGTGTTCCACACAAGGGGAACAGTTCCTATAGATTGTTCCATACAGATCATTCTATATAAATGTAGCTCTTCATGTGCATCCATTTTTTAACACACATACACACAACTGTAGTCCACTGTACTATGTAAGTATATGTGTGGGTATCTTGTTTTTCTCAATTCTTAAGATTAACACACTCTAAATACTGTATAGGAGTCCATCAAATGACTTAGGTCATAATTTTAACAAATTCTCCATATCTTTATATTCTGGTCATTAACAATTTTTTGTTACAATTAATTATTTTTACACTTATATCTTAGTAGGTAGGAATATAATCCATGTCATAAATTCTTAGAAAGAAATTGCCAGACTAAAGGGTTTAATTTCTAATCTTGATAGCTACTATCAATTTTTCCAATATGAATGTTTTAGAGGTTTTAACCCTTTATGCTTCCCTGACCAATCTGGAGTGTCTGTTTCGACAGAAATTGATGTTCAGTTAATATTTACTTGACTCTTACTACGCCTCATGCGACACTACATATCCGAGAGAGAATGCACCAAGCTTACCTTCTACTCTCCCTAACCAGTCCACCTCTCTAAGCATCAACCATCACTTAGTGACTCTGCACACTTCCCTTTTCTCCTTCTCCCTATCCAATGAGCTGCCAAGTCGCATCAATTCTGATGGCAACTCTTGATGTATCTAGCCCACCTCCCCATTCCCACCTCTGGCTCAGACCACTCCTTCTTGACCTCTTGCCCCAATCCTGATGCCACCATTAGTGGGCGTGAGGGACAAATGGGGGGGGTCCCCAAAGAGCATGCATTGTCAGTTGAGTAAAGAGACAAATACATTTATAATACATTATAATCATTTCTTAGGTCTCAGACCCAAAGTGATCCCGCAGAGCACAATGACATTTTAATGCTACACATTGTGCACAGTCCCTTTGTTACCTGTCCACCTGCCCATCTAACTTCAGAACAAGGCACACTGCAGTCCTGGCTACCATGGCCAACAGCCCAATGATATCAGGAAAGGAAGTGTTCTTTCAAGACCCTCCTGCCCTGGGCTGGGACCTGGCTTGAATTAACAACTTATCTTTCTTAAATTTTTTTTCTTAAATTCTTTACATGATTAAAGCCCGCAGACCATCTATAAAGGACAGGATGACATTTTGCAATTCCAAAGTAACTTTTAAGTAAAATGTTGATAAGCATCCTAACTATCCTAGTTCTATGAACCACAGGAGTTAACTTTTATGTGCATAAAAGTAGATTTAAACTCACACTCAGTGCCCGCCTTCTGCTTGAAGGCACAATGCTCAGCTTATCCACTTTACAATAAACCCCACCGATCTCTCTGCACAGCCTATGTCTCCTGACTGAATCCTTTCAGCAAGGGCACTAAGAATGGAGGGCAAGGGCACTAAGAATGGAGGACAAGGAAGTAAGGGGCTGGTTCCTTGCTTCTGGCAGACCTGGCTTCCAGGTGACATCAATTTACCTGCTCAAAGCTCATGGGCTTTGTATTTGTTGCCTGCCACCCCTCCACGAACCTGGGCTCAGGGCCTGTACAGGAAAGGCATGAACTCACAGGATCCGCCCATAAGTCCAGTTTCATGAAGTGTCCTGTCAGCATAAAACACCTCCCTCACCAGACAGTGGACTCCAAGAGGACACTTTTACACCAGACCCCATTCACGATCCCCTCCAGACAGCATCCAGTACAATGCTTTTGCCCTTGGTAGGTGCTTAATAAATGATTTCTAAAGTTATTCAATATATTCTTTAGTATGTGCCCAAATTATTCCAAAGAAGAAAAAGAACTTCTTATACATGTAAATCCATAATGAAAATAATCTTTTTGAATTATCGAAATGATTTTGAGGTCTATTTACCTTGAATGACTGAGTGTACAAATAAACACAAATAACTTAAGAGATTTTTTTAAAAGTCCTTAAACCCCTTTAGAAGTAACCTGAAAATCACACAAAACAGATTTCTAAAACCACTTGCTTTCAATGGTTACAAATCAGAAAAATGCCTCCCTCCTCGACAAGACATACAGATTCTGATGTGTCATATAAAGTCCTGTAAACACCGTGATTTTATGCTCTTCAGATGCCCTAGTCAGCTGTTGTTGACCTCTACAAATTGACAGTGTGACTAAAGAGGAAAGGCCATATGCTAAGTCCAATGTCCAATGATTCGCTAAGAAGTCAATAAAAACAAACGGCTTTGTGTGAAATGCACCAATTCGAGCCATTTCATTCTTTATAAAGTTAAACCAATTTAAAAAGTAACTTTTCCAAAGCTTCTTTCTAAACAGGTTGTACAGAGGTCACTGAAAAGGAAGCACAGATTATTTTTCAGCGAGCGAAGAGTGGAAGGAACCCTTCTGAAAAGCATTACTTTGTAGAAACACAAGATTAGATTTTAAATGTGCTCACAGCGCTTCCCCTCTCAACATCAGCACTATTTCAAACACGTGTATGGCGTCCTTGACTTTTTCTCTAGGAGTCAAAACTTGGTTCAGGTTTCCCCCATTTCCCCTTTAACCAAAAGTTAAGAATTAAGTCATGGATTAGAAGTTAGGGTCAACATTCAGAACTGCAAATCATCTTTAAGAGATTTTAAAGTAACAGGGTTAGTAGTTAAGGAACTTCTGAGTTGGCCCTGGAGAGGAGTGTGCCTGACAGCTGGTGGCATCTCCCTTCCCGTGTCCCAAGTATTTTACATCTTCACGGATGTGACTCCTGGATGATTTTTAAAGAAGGGGCCAAACAAACATAAAGTTGCTGGGATGGGACAGTTATGGGATCTTCTCCCAGGACTCCTGAACTCTGTTCCCCGGGTCTCCTCCAGGGCTGCGTGACAGGAACAGCAAAGCAGTAAGTCCTGCAGGCCCCCAGAGGACACAGCGTGGGCCAGCTGGGCCAAGAGCTCGCCCCAGACACTGAAGTCCACCGGCCTCCGTGAGCAGCTGAGCCCGCCTTTCCGGGTGGGCAGCGGCGAGGGTGGGGGGCGCGCGGCCCCACTCACCTGCGATTCATGGGCCGAACTCTCACGGCCACCTTGACAGATGCCATAGTTCATTCCGCCCAGGGCCGCGCGGGCCCGAACCAGGCCAGCACCCAGCAACCGCCGCGACTCTGGCGTCCGGCCGGCGGCCCCCGCCCACTTACTTCCCTCTGCCCCCGCCCCTCGGCTACTGCCCGACCTGGAGTCGCGAGGCGGCCCCACCTGCCAGGTCACTAGGCATGCGCAAATCGGTTCCAGTCCACTTAAACCAGGCTCCGGGCTTTTGTGGTGACCTGGCGGGCGGAAAAAGGGGCCGGGCGGACGGAGGGCGGAGCCAGGGCCAACCCCGGTTGGCCAAGTCAGCAACTCAGCCAAGCGGGCTACACCCCAAGTTCAGGGAAGGCACCCGGGTGCGCTAATTGCAGGAAGGCTAAACCGAGCCTCATCTCCCTGAAAACCAGAAAGGAGAGAATCGCTGGCTTTATCCCGCTGTGCGTGAATTATAAGCTCATTGATTTTACAGACGAACCAGCCGAGGCTCCGAGATGATCACAGTTTGTTTTGTAGCGAACTCTACTTGGGTCTTCTCCGCTAAAGTAAGAAGTTCCAAGCGTGTGCTTCTCAATTGAGCGCACTAAGAAAACAATGGGTATTGAATGTTATAAACTCAAGTGGGAATGTTGTTACATTAGCTAAAGTCAGATCTTAGTGGGACTGTTTGCGTTCTTGTTAAATTTGCAATTTCGGGTTAATCACAAGGGAGTTAGGGTCCCCAGTGTAGGTGAGCCTGGCTTCCTTGCTGCAGAATGTAAATTCAAGCAGTATGCATGCATTCTTCCACACTGCCCAGGAATCAACCTGTAAGCCAGAGTTAAGGTCACATGAACGACTGTGAGCGGCTTCAGCTCAGACTTTCTCCGGCCTTCCCTTCCGGGCAGCCCAGCCCTAGGACCCCCCCTTCCAGCTGTCACATAGGACCTGGCCAGCGCCTGGAGAAGCCAATCAGGGGGCAGGCAGATGCCAGGGTACCCGAGTCTACGCCTCTAAACATCTGTCTCATCTGCAAACTGGGGACAATTCAGTGGGCTTAGTTCATGCATTGAGATGCTAAAACTGCAAGCGCTTAGCCAGCTCAGACCAGGAATCATTATTTCATCACCAACCCTAGAACCCTATGGCCGGCCTGGAAACACAGGATCTGCTTCGCTTGCCCACGTGGCTAACACTGAGCTGGGTGCAGATTCCACCAATGGGCGACGGGAAAACTCGGAGCGCGGATTTCCGGAGCGGGTGACAGGTCGAGCAGGCGCAGTAGCAGCAGGCTGATTTGCGAACTCCGGAGGGAGCCTGTGCTGCATTGGGAGGCCTGGGGAGAGGGCGGAGCTCACCTTGTATGGGAGCTGCATAGGGACAAACCTCAAGGCCTTCCCTCTCTCCAGGTGGGATCCCGACACGCCCTAAAAGCAGCTGCAAACAGCCAGACACAGGTGTCACTCAGTTCGCAGAACACTTCTGAATAGGCTCTGTCGCTCCGTGGATCTGGGAGTGCAAGAACTCAGAAAATATTTCTTTTTGGAGAATGAAAAGTTTCTGAAAAGGATTGTGAGAGGCTTGCTCCTGGTCTCAAACTTTAACGTGCATACTTTAATGTGCTTTGCAAACTTGATTGCTATAGGAATCACCTGGGGATCTTGTAAAACTGCAGAACGTGATTCAATAGGCCTGGGGTGAAGCCATCTCCAGGGGATGTGCATGCTGCCCATCCATGACCCACACTTTGAATAGCAAGGGTTAAATGACCTCTAAGCAAACTGTGTGGGGGTTTTGAAAAGCTAATAATGGAAAACAGACATGGGGCTCTAAACCCCAGGCCCCAAAAGTCCAGTGGGTAGCATTCAAGGTTCCATATCATGCAGCAATAAATAGCAGATAATGAATGGCTCCAAATTTAGCAGCTTAAAACAAAAACTGTTCATTATTTCTCACGATTTTGTAGGTTGCTGATCTTACCTAGTTTATATGACTGGGGTTGAGTTGAGCTGGGGTGATGAAAAGCTGGTACTCTCATCTTCAAAAATATTGGATATATTTCCTCCTATGGCAAAATAGCCAGAGCACAAGCCTCTGTAGGTTTTATTGGGGTTTGGTTTAGTTTTATTTTGCTTTGTTTTGTTTTGCACAGTATTAAGGACTGAACCCAAATCCTTCACTCTGAGCTGCATTCTCATCACCACCACCACCCTTTTTATATTTTTAAACATCTTAGTTTGAGACAGGGTCTCCCAAAGTCGCAAAATTGCCCAGACTGGGCTGTAACTTGCAATCCTCCCACCTCAGCCTCCCAGAATGCAGGGGCTGCTGTTGGGATAATCACATTTGCTTATGTGCAGTTGACCAAACAAAATCACATGACCAAGCCCAGGGTCAGCATGGGAGGGGGTGCTCACCACTGGAAGCACTTGAGTATTCCCAAGAGACATTGAAGTAGTAAATCTTATCATATGGTCCAAGAACATGTATGAGGAAAAAAAAATCTTCAATTGCTCCTAATTAAAATATATTAGTAAATATATTAGTAAAATATATTAGTAAAACTTGAGACATTGATGCCTCCAGAAATCACTGTTATTTTAGGGACAAAGTAGAATTGGTGATGTGCTATCAAATTGTTATTACACTCTTACTACTTTGCAATTGTGTTAGCTATTAGACTGTCACTAGAACTTATGTAATATAAGTACTACAGGGAACCCGTGACTTACAACCTCGATCAATCCCCGGGGCTGGTTGTAACTAAGTCAATATAGCTGAGATCTGGATGTTTACCTAGGTACACACTATAGATAACAGAAGGCAGATGAATCTCCCATTAAACTGATTAACCCAAGTTGTTCGTATGTCAGATGGGTCGTAACTTGAGGGTCCACAGTATATGATTCCATGATAAATTAATTTTCTAACATTTTGATAGTTGTGTCTCAATTTATTTTCCTTTTCATAGCATCTGTTTTATTTTATGGATTTTAAAATGTTATCCTGAAACTTGCTTTCACTAAACAACCAAAAGGATCCATTTCATAAGAAAGGTTAAGAACTTGTAATTTAGAAATTTAATTGAAGGCAGAGGGCATTTCTATTTTCAAAAAAATTGAATTGTGATGGAAAAGCACAAAAGAGAAGATCCTGAGACCTAGTTAAAATCCAAATGGCATTAAATAAAAATAGAGCATTAACCCTGTCATCAGTAAGGAATGTGTGTTTGTTCATGTATGAATTGGTTTTTATTTGTTCTAATATAATTTATTTTTATCTTCATTTATTGCTGAAATTTTTTTCTTAAAACCTTAGCAATCTCATTATTATCAAAGTCCCAGAGTTTTAGCTTCTTCTCTTCAAAATGAGATAGCACTACAAGAGAATGTTCATTCTCCCTCAAAACATTTGCATCATCTGGAAATACTGTGTTCAGAAGAAAAATACTACATCCACCATCAGCCTTGCTCTGTTTACTTTCTAGCTTGTAAGGAATGAAATTGATTTACTCTCTCACAAACAATATTTTTAAAAACTTTAATAAACTGCAGATAGCACATTTAAATTTGGACAGGATATAACTGACATCTCACAAACCTATCTATTTTCCTATATGCTAGAATCACTGACCATAAGCATTACTCACACTGAACACTTAATATCTCCATATGGAATATCTTATAGCAAAGGACTTTAGTTGAATTTAGGAGCTATGCAGTGAGCCAATAAACAAAAATAACTGTTCTCCTGGTTTTCAAACAAATGTATGATAGTGTCAGAAACAAAAATCATAGATGTCATATCCAAATCCAGCAGTTTTTGTTCTCTACGTCATAAAACTTAAAAAGATTAAGAATCTTCTAACATACTAAACATTAAAACCAAAAGTAATTTTAAAAGTGTTCTTGGGAACCTGAGAGAAAATCTAAACTCCAAAGTAACTGTAAGGTTAATAGCAAAAATCATTCTTAGTAATTTTGGTAAAGCTATGGGCAAGATCCATGAATGCCAGCTTTCTCTTACAGCAAAGTGAATAAAGAAATCACAGCAGATTCAATTTAATAGAAATGATCACCCTGAATCATAGTCATTTTATATACTAAGATGAGAAAGATTGTTTTCAATTGCATATAACTATACCTGTGGTCACAAATTGTTCAGAATCGATGGACTTTATAAAGTCTGTGGCAGCATTTCAACTTCTTATGAGTGAGAAACCACATTTGGTTGAAATGATAGAAAAACGTCTCATGTGTTCATTAGTTTTGGAAATAGGCCTTGCAGAAGGGACAGAATCAGAACAGCTAGGATGGGGTGCAGAGTGACTTCTGAGACAGAGAAACTAAATGGAAGGAATTTTGGAAAAAAAATGTGCTTTTGAGAAACCACACCCAACTCCTGGAATAGTGAGAAAGCCTTTTTACCTGAAGCATCATATTGGGTGATAGGGATGTAGCACATTGGTGGTACTCTTATCTAGCATGCATGAGGGCCTAGGTTAAATCCACAGCACAGATAAAAAGGATATGAATCCTTCCCTACTCTGTGCGTAAGCCTTACAGTGTCACTCTGCAGCTCCTCTCACAAGTGGAATCTCTCTCTCTACCTCTTCAATACAGAGGGCCCTGTAATTTCCTTCGGTCCACAGAATGCTACAGAATTGACTTAACATTATTTCAAACCCTTGGCCTCAAGAGGTCTTGGATGCTTCCAAACCCATACTCTAGGGACCTACCTGTTGCCATATAAGCAAGCCAGCTAGCTGAGTGATGATGTGGCCTTGTCAAACCCAGCACCATAACCAATAGCTACTCAATCATTAGGATTGTGAGCAGGGCCACCTTGATCCTGACAATTTATCAGTGGATCACATGTATGAGTGAGGACATCCAGAATGACTGAGCCCACTCAGACCAGCAGAACCACAGGGTTGACCTGCAATCTTACAGAAAATAAATGGGTGGCTATTGTTTGAGCCTTTGGTTCAAAGTGTGTTTGTCATTGCTTACATCCAAATACATCCCATCTTGTATAATAAGAAAAGACAATTCAGGAGACTTTATAACTACAAACAAATATGAATGGCATAAAAACACCTGTGAGCTAGGACCCTACTCAAGGGCCTTCAGAGTTGTAGCTGGGAGTTAATGGAGTCTTCATGGTTCTTTCTTAGTATACACATGAGAAGACCGAGGTT